AGAATGACCCTACATAAATTCTGGTGGCCGTTTTTATGAATGATGCAAGGGCAGGAGTAATCATACAGGCTGGAGGCGAGGAGGACAGAGCCGAAAACAAAGCTCATTCATTTTCTTTCTTAGATGAGGTGTCTGGAGGTTGCATGGCACCTTAGCAATCTAGTGTTGTGGGCCTCTGGTGTAAATTTCATCACTTCGTCTGATATATGTTTCCACAGAGTGACAGATACTCTGTGTCCCACTTCTGAACAGATTGAGTCTGGCAGGCTGCGGGGGAAAGACCTTTACTCAGCCAGTGTGCTTCAGTGGGGCTGTGGGGCTGCTCATCTGTACCCACATTCGTAAACAAGATGCCTCTCAGCCTGCAGAATTTCAACCTAGTTAAGTTTCCTTTCTTTGCTCGCTCTCTTTTTCTCATCCTACTGGTAAATATAGGTCAGACACCTGGCTCCTAATTACCTGAGAGATTAAAGGCCAGTAGAGCACCAAGATTTTCATGAGTGAGGCCCTCACCTCCTAGCCAGACATTATTATTAACCTTTTGGTGTCTTTGCCCGGTGCTCTGGGAGGCCCCTGTTTTAGAGTCCTGATCTTTGCAGGAAGGTAACATGCATACTTTATAAGAGCTTGCTCCTCCAAACGTGGTCCACAGACCAGCAGCAAGCAGTAGCATCACCTGGGAGCTTGCTGGCCACGTGGAACCCTGGGAGCTTGCTGGTCACGCTGAGCCCTGGGAGCTTGCTAGATGTGCAGAGGGTACAGACCAGACCTAATGTGTGCCTTCAGCTGAGACCTGCTATCTGCTGCTCTTTTCTGCTCTCTGAGAGAGGATGCACACGTTATATGTTAGGTCTGCCCGACCCTGATATGTCAAACATCTGGACACCTGGAGTATTGCTTCCACAGTTAGTAGAAGGTTCACAATGGATGCCATCATTGTGTCTTCCAGGGAGTGGTTTACTCCCTTTCTGTGCGTCATCAGTACCCTGTACATCTATCTCTAATACAGAAGGCACCACTCTGATTTGTCTATGTCCCCCACCCTCCCACACGATATTGTGCAAATCTTTGCAGCCCAGAACACGTTTCATAGAATTTCGAATATTCCACACACCGTAGCTGAGAGCCTAGCACTTAACACATGAAAGAAAGAAGGCAGGAGGGAGGGAAGGAGAAAGCACAGAAATAGGATTGAGATTTGAGGGTTTTAAAGTACCCATGTATTCTGGAAGGTGGAGAGTATAGAGCAAAAGTATGCGGAGAGGTGAGTGCTCAGAAAGAAAAAAGGAAAGAACAGTCTTAGGGCGGTGGGGATGAAGCAGTTGGTTTACAGATTGGGACAAGTCAAGAATTAAGGTCACTTAAATGTAAGTGTGGAGCCAACGTGCAAATCCAGGTCAGTCTGACTTCTGGCCTGTGCTGTCTCCTGTGTCACACTGCTTATAACACCATAAAGGGATAGTGCTAGAAGGACCCGCAACACCTGGGTAGGAAATCCAACTCCCTCGTGCACAGGGGAGCAAAGTGGGGCCCAGAAAAGTGGAGTGACTTGCTCACAGGTACAGAATTGGTGGTGGCAGAACCAGACAAGAAAGATGTTTTGCAAAGGTTTTCAGATTTATAAAGATATTCAGACTCCAATTGGCGGATTATAGAAAACTTTGAGAGATTGGAGGCAGGATGTTGTAGTTAAAAAACATTGAGCTGACAAGAGTCATCAGGAATTCAGCAAGGTGATCCTTCTATCTCCAGCCTACATGGAAATATGTCCAGTCTGTGCTCAGAGCTTCTCAGAGGCGTTTTTGCCTGTTAGAGAAGCCGGTGATTTTTGCTAGAACCAATCTCAGGGAAAGATGCAAAGATATTCCCACCTCTAAGTAGTCCTCTTCTCTTTCCTGGAAAATTGTCTTTCCTCTTCCACCCTCACACTCCCAAGCCCTTAACTGGATCCCTGTCATCTCCCAGGACCCGAATGTCATTTACTGGTAGAGAGGGATGGAGAAAGAAGCAGATAAGACTGCTCGTCTCAGCTCTGCTAATAGATACAACCTTGGGAAAATTCTCTAACCTCTCCTTCCTCACATCAGAAATGAGTAGAACGAATAAATAAAAACCTCCCAACTCCAAAAATTGAATCCTCTCTTTTGCTATTGGGTGAATGTCAAAGATTGATTTCATCCTAAGGGCATTTTAACTTTCATACAAAACACAATGGCTAAAAGCTGTCTCTTACAGGTAAGAGAACAGACTTACATGATGAAATTGAAGGCTTTGGAGATGGCATTTTTGCGTAGGGCATGCAGCAGCGTATTTCATCTACACAGAAGGCATCTCTGCCCATTGTGATGACTATTTTCATATTTGTGAAAGGAAGCCAAATGAATTATTTGTGATACCCGGTATTTGAAGCAATCTTCTTATATGTTGTTGGCTGTGGATGCATGGGTATGCTTGCAGAGCAGAGCATTGCATTATTAGCAGCAGGTATTAAATATATTATTTAGTATTAGAGGTATTAGTCTCTGGCATTAGGGCAGATTACATTTGATGTATTTAGTTCTTTGGAGTTATAATTAAGGCTTGAATTCCTGATTGTTATATCCAGTCACTAAATTATGATTTACCTCTTAATTCCACAGTGAGTTCACCAACATTGGCAACCCACTGCCAATTAATTAATGACAATTATTTATTTGCAACTGTGTCTGAGAATAGGTGGTTCATATCTTCTGGTTATTGTAGACTTTTAAGGTGACATTTTTGACTGGGGGCATCCTTTTCTTATCATGGTATTTCTCCGCCTTGCTGTTTGAAAAACTCTATACTGAATTCGTGGTTTCAAGCCTTTAATTCCCCCCTGTCCATCCTTTATTTCCCCGTCTTCTCCCACCTGCCTCCTGGAAGCAGTTTTGGTCTGCTGCTTCGACACAAGCTCTTCTACACCCCCCACCCCATCACTGCCTCAGGATGGAAGAGTCAGGCGTCCATCACAGATAACGGAGGAACAGGCCAAATATAAACATTTCTGCTACTCTGATTAATTCATAATGTCCTTTCGTCCTTATCAACATGGTACTTGCATCTAGGCTCAGAAGGACACGCCTAAATATTGACCAATATAGAATAGTACTTCTAGATGGAGTTGATATACTCAGCTTCATGGTTTAAACCTTCAAGCAGGCAAGAAGTTGAAATCTTTATTAACTGGATTCCTATATTTCTAAAACCATAATACATTACACCATCTTCTTCCCAGACCCTTCCCAAGACAAGGAGCCTGAGATTTAAAAAAAAAAAAAAAGAAAGAAAAAAGATGCAGCATCCTTCCTAATAACTCTGCAAATGTGCTTTCCCCCAGTCTGGTCTCGGATCAGAGACTGACAGTTGAGCTGAGGTTTCCCACCGCTCAGCTGTGAGACTGGCCCAGGTGGGATGTGAGCTCCCACGAGGTCAGTTACCTCTGGGCTACTGAGGGTCTACACTACTAACTTTGTGCACAACACACTTTTGATTGCTTTCCTCTCCACTCTGAATATTGCTGTGCTCTGTGTACCTTTCATTTGTGGGTGCAAGGCTCTGCCAGCCCACTCCCACGGCATGTAGATATGTGTGCTCAGAGTCCCGAAGTCAGACTCTCATGTCTGCCTTGCGCTCTCAGACCCCATCCCTGGGAGGTAGCAAAGCCTTCACCCTCCTCTGGCACATCAACAGCCCTGCAGATGAAGATGACACCTGCCAGTTCCATCTCCCACAGACGAAGGGCTTGATGCAAACCCCCCAACACAAGCTGTGGCTGAACTAGAAATAGACAGCCAACAACTGTTCACCCCTCGCTCCTCCATCACTCTGCGTTTCCACCCTAGAAGCCTTCAAGGGAGCTGTGAAGAAAGAAAGGCCCCAGCCTGTTTATCTACCAAGGATTTCAGGTCCTCGTGGATTGAAAGATGGCTCAGTGATTAAATACATAATGCCGGATTCTTCTCTATGCAACAATTAATGTAGAAGGCTCTTGGGCAGGTAGACCTGACCGGCCTCTCACTGTCTCCCAGCTCATTTTGTACCAACTGAGATGTACCACAGGCAGGGAATGAGGTACTTAGTATTTATGTGGTGACTTTTGCTTGAATAAAATGGGGGTTGTCATGCCTACGCATTGTGCTTAGAACCTGTGGAGAATAGACAGAGACGTGGTTCTTTGCTCTGAAGTGGATCTCATACCGCCTGGGGAAGGCACTAAGGGGAGCGTAGCGCATTGTTCTGTGTGGCATCTGTCAGACCTGCCCTGGGGGCTGGGAAGGTGGTACTCGGACAGAATGGAGGAAACCAATGCCAAGTCTGCGTCTGTCCCAATTTCCGTAAAGGGTGACCCCAGACCGGAAGAGGCAGAGTGTGGGAAATTCTCCTGGTGTCAGCAGCAGTGCAGGCAAAGAGAAGCTCCCTGTAGCTGGCGTTTGCCCAGCACAACGCGTGCCTTTCTGCCGAAGAGCACAGACTTTCAGACTGCTGTCCTGATAGTGGGAATCCTGGCTGAAGGACCCATGTGAGTCCTCACTGCTGGGAAAAAGGAGAGTCTGGTAGCCAGATCCTTCTCTGGGAGAATTCTGCCTCACTCTGTTTCACTTCATTCTTCATTCTCCACCCCCTCTTCTCTCTCTCTCTCTCTCTCTCTCTCTCTCTCTCTCTCTCTCTCTCT